TTTCTGTTCCCACACCAACTTTCACTACCCACAGTAAAAGCAGAGATTCCGTTCCCACACAAGAGTCACACGCAGGCACACGCACCAACACGCCCGCCCTGCACACCCACACATACCTTAGAGGATGAGACACTGAGGTTACAAAATGGGCCGCAGACTAAAACTGGTTCAATTACTGAGGCGGTAGAACCGTCTTTTCGAATATGGCCTCCTAATTCCTCAGGAGAAGATGGGCCTTTTTGAAGGGAGTATCCATCCATCCATCCATCCCGGGAACGTTCACAACCTCACGAGGTTTTGCAGTTTACCTGAGTTCTGCGATGTTGCCAATAGACTTTAAAACCAGAGACTGGGTGTTGACGGGATCTCCCTGTGATCACAGACTAGCCTTAGAGTTCACTAAGCTAGAAAGGAGACGCATTTCCCCGGATGGCCAAGGGCAGGTCAAGGGAAGCTGGTCCCAGGTAGCATTATTATTGAAGAGGTCCATAGCCCTTGAGACGGTAGCATTATTATTGAAGAGGTCCATAGCCCTTGAGACAGACCCATCTAAGTGGTTGGACGGGACAAGTGTGGGGCAGAGAAGGTAAGGCTGGGAAAACCCACCATTTCGGGTCTAAGGCGGATACTGTCACCTTGCCTGAGGCAATTGCACCCCCAGTTTTCTGTAAAATGCATGATAATACGCACGTGTATGTCCTTCCTTCCGGTTGGCTCCAAGTGTTCCAGACATACTTACTATGTCCTATGTTCCCTGGCAGGCTGCAGGCCGATAATGCTGTGCTCACTTTTACAAATGGAGAAATCGAGACTCCAGAACGTTGAAGGGGCTTCACGTAGTGAGTCAGCCACGGAGACAGATGGAAAAATACATCCTCTGGCTCCTGCCGCTATATTCCTTCTCTTCCGGATTTGTTGCTTTTTGATATTTCATGCAGTTTTTGTGATTGATGAAATAAAGTGCTTCCATTAAGAAGACAAAATGTAGGGGCGCCTGGGTGGCTCAGATGGTTAAGTGTCTGCCTTTGGCTCAGGTCATGATCCCAGGGTCCTGGGATCGAGCCCCACATCGGGCTCCCTGCTTGGCGGGGAGCCTGCTTCTCCCTCACCCTCCTACTGTTCCCCCAGTTTGTGCTCTCTAGCTCTCTCTGTCAAATAAATAAATAAAATCTTAAAAAAAAAAAAAAGACAAAATGTAATCCAGGGTACGCTAATGGCAGTTAGTGATGAGGGCAGGAGAATACCCTGAACCTTTTTACAAGCGAGTGCAGTCGGAGTTGCCTCCTTATTTTGAGAATTCAATATGTTGTCAGAAAATGCTTTGGTTTGCTTTCGATTATTTATAAAGGGCTGGAGTGGGGCGCCTGGGTGGCTCAGGCGGTTAAGCGTCTGCCTTCAGCCCTGGTCATGATCCCAAGATCCTGGGATCGAGCCCCATGTCAGGCTCCCTGCTCCGCGAGGAGCCTGCTTCTCCCTCTGCCTGCCGTTCCCCCCTGGCTGGTGCTCTCTCTCTCTCTCTCAGATAAATAAATAAAATCTTTAAAAAAGCGGGGGGGGGGCTGGAGTGTCTCTGATCTCACTGTCCTTCGTATTAGGTAGATAGGGCAGATGGTATTACGCATGTTATATCCCAGAAAGATCATAATAATGTCTGCCGCTTAGCACCTCGCTGGAGCCAGACATTCTTTAATCATTATAGTAACCCTGGTTAGGGGTGCTGTTTAAAAGCAAATTTCAGTAGGAAGACTACCAATTATCACATACTCAATGCCTACCATGTGCCAGGATATGATCTCAATTTTGAACACATACTAGATCACTTAAGCATCCCAACAAACGTACAAGATAGTGACTATTACCTGAGGTCGTTACTATTACCCTCACTAGATGAGAAAATAGAGGCACAGGAGCTTAAGCAACTTCCCCAAGGACTCACACAGCCCTTAACTACTCTGTGGTACTGCCCCTGAATAGAAAATTACTCAGTTCAGCCAAGTATTGACTTACTTCCTATGTGCCATGCCTGTAGAAAATACAGTTCCCACACTCAATAGCTGACCTTTTCAAAAGAAAACAAGACCTAGATCCTTGGCAATAAATGCTACAACACCTAGTGTATGGAGCATAAATGTTGTATGAAGGCATGAATAGGTATAGACTGAAATGAACAATAGAGAACGCAAGTAGTCCGAGACCGTTCATTTGCCTTTCTAAGTAATGTACTTTCCTGTGGACGAGTGACTTGGGCACTGGGGAGAAGCTGGTTCCATGTGTTCTAAAATAAGCAGGTTACTTGGCTAATGTTCAAGTTCTAAATAGGTATGTGGGTTGTAGCTATTTGACCTGAACCAACTTTTAAATTCCCTTGTGTTCTTGCAGGATTTCAGTGGAGCTGGAATTTAAAAAAAAAAAAAAAAAATTAACTTTTCCCTACATCTCGTAAAGTTAGAATTTATTAATATTTGGCAGAATACCACGAGGCTGTCAGGAAGGTGATTCGTAAGCATTGTATCATTCCTTTGTCAGGGTGTTCTCTTTTTCTAGCAGGAAGTGTTATGACTTGCTCTCCAAAGTTGCAATTGTAAGAAGAATGTTGGGTTTCCAGATTGGCTTTCTGGGCGTGGGAGGTTCCTTCTATTAGTGCTGCTAGAGAGAAAGAAACAGGTTTGCTCTCGTCGCAGAAGGGTAACTATTTTAATACTATTTTGTTAGGCTCTAACTTCTCGATGACTGAATATTTAAGCAGAAATTTATTTAAAAAGCTTGAGATTCTTACTATGTGTTTGGGTAGTTAAGCATTTGGAGATGCATTCTAAACGTTACTTACTCAAGGAGAACCAAATATAAGAGAAGATTTTTGAAGTTTTAGAATCTAAAATTATCTCTTTATATTCTGCCTTTTCATTATTTGGGGAATATTCTAGGGACTTTGTACTTTCTAAAAATTGCGTTTGAAATCTTAATTATATACCTGTATCTATCACGTTAGAGGCTCAGAGGTTTAAATGGCAGAAACTATTAGTTTATATCTGGGTGGCGGGGGGAGTAGAATTTCAGATGCCTTTGATGCCTTTGATCCGTAAATGGTTTTTCAAAATTCTGTGGAAAAGATGAGGTAGCTGTCATGACAGAATAGGTTATGATTAGACCAGTATTCTGCTCTTATGAAACGACTTGTGACAAAGTTGTGTTACTGTTTGTTTATATTTTACAAGATACCTGAAAATCATTGGTGTTGAAATTTTGGTGCTGTTATTGTGACATGGTAGTGATGGTGATTTCCGGTGCCCACAAACTCGTCAGTGATTTCCATCCATTGGTGATCACAGATGTTTTATTTCTCCTTGTTTCAGCAGAGCCAGATATCCGACTCTGATGCGTGTATGCAGTAAGAAGTGTTTTCTCAATTAACAAGTACTATATTTGAGAACATAGAAGCAGGGTATGTAACATTGCAGGAGGCACTTTTAGAGACTAACAGATAAGCTTTCAGCTTAGCTCAAAGTCTAAGCTAAAATTGTATCTCTAGTGATTTCTGAGTTGTGCATCCTAATATTTTGTTTTGAATTGAAGCATGTTAACTAGTCTGATCTTGCCTTGTGATGTGTGTGTGTGTATGTGTGTGGGTCTAGTACACACAGAGACACATACACGCACACACCTGAAGGTTGGCCTTGGCTTCAATGTTAATTTTCCTAGGAAAGGACAGTACCCCTCGGATGTGAAGGTTAGTTAATTTCTTTAGCAGCAAACGTATTTTTTCTTTTTCTTTTTTTTTTTTTTAAAGATTTTACTTATTTATTTGACAGAGAGAGACACAGTGAGAGAAGGAACACAAGCAGGGGGAGGGGGAGAGGGAGAAGCAGGCTCCCCGCCGAGCAGGGAGCCCGATGTGGGGCTCGATCCGGACCCCAGGATCATGACCTGAGCCCAAGGCAGACGCTTAACGACTGAGCCACCCAGGCACCCCGCAAATGTATTTTTTCATGAATTATTCAGATATTTGGGGAAAGTGTCAATGTTTACTTCGGAAATATAGACAGGCTTAGACCTTTGTAAAGGAGAGTGTGCTGTTTCAATCCAAGGAGTTAATACAAGCTTGGCTTTTGGTGGGAGAAGGAGAGGTGTCACTTTGTTGTTTTATCTTTGGCTTTGATATGGTATTCATCACAGAGAAAGGGGCTTTTAGAATATGATTAGGACATATGTGAAATATCTGTAAAACTCTTGACTGGTAAGAATGTAAAGAATGCCTTCAGTCTGACTAAATTGAATTGAATGTTTCCTTTATTGGAAAAGTTACTAACTTATTTTTAAATAGCCATTACTTTAAGGTCTTATCTCCTTTTTTTTTTATTAAGTACAAAAAGAAGAAAGAAACGTTTACTTTAAATGGAAGTATTTGATATTCCTCCAGGAAATGACACATGATTGGGCACCCTTTGGGGTTTAAGTGACTCATAGATATTGGTACTTGAAAAAAAAGATCGATTAGAATCTAGCTTATGCCGGATTCGAGAATAGAATAGAGGTATTTCCAGAAAATGAACTCATTTCTTAAGAGAGCTATGTAGGGCAAAATCATGAGATGTCTGGGTTTGCTTTAAAATAATTCAGGAAAGTGACAGAAAAGGGAGAAGAGATGAAGCAGGTTGCAGGGAAATCCTGATCAATGTACAGTCTGGGTGGTGGGTTTATGAGTGTTTATTGTACTATTTTCTTTTTTGTGTTTATTGGAAATTTTCATAAAACATTTAAGTATAGCTAAATTTAGTTTGGGGCAATTTACATTTATTTCCAAATGTTACTTTTACCTATAAATTGCAGGTTTGTCAAAGCACGATTTGTGCCTAATGTGTACTATTGGAAAGGTGAAATGTGCTACTTGATTGTCAAAATTGTAACAAGTAAAAACTGTTTCTGGAAAAAAAAAAAAACCTTTCTGTTTGACTTTCAGCTAAATTCAAAGGACAGGCTGCAAACATCTTGAGTAGTTTTTGTAGTATCTTGAAGCATTAAACAAGAGTAGATAGCTAAAGCATGCTAATAGGCCAATTGCATGTGAAGAATGCAGGAACATTATTTTGTCGTGACTGTTTTGTTCACAGCTTTCTCTAATAGAATATGCATTTTTAAAAGCACAGGAGACAACTATTTAGTCTGCCTTGTGTTTAAAGATGTTCACTTTCCCTACTTGCCTCCATCAGAGTTTATTTATTCAACACACGTTTGGTGGGTGCTTATTGTGAGCCAAGATACAAAGTCAAAGAAGATACCAGCCCTGCTTTCAAGGAGCTCCCAGACTGGTGGAAGAAATAGAGGAGTAGGTGGTCATCCTGCAATGAAAGGGGGCGGAGCTACAGGAATTGGGTAAGGGGAGTTAGTGGTTAGCAACTAGGACGCTGTGGTGCATCTCCTTTAAAATAATGCAAACAAGGGGCGCCTGGGTGGCTCAGTCGGTTGGGCATCTGCCTTCAGCTCAGGTCATGATCCTGGGGTCCTGGGATCGAGCCTTGCCTCGGGCTCCTTGCTCAGTGGGGAGCCTGCTTCTCCCTCTGCCTCTGCCTCTCCCCATCCCCCTGCTTGTGCGCTCTCTCTCTCCCTCAAAATAAATAAATAGAATCTTTAAAACAATGCAAATGAGAATTTGAGATGGCTTAATTATTTGTAGGTACTAGAGAAGTCAGAAGAGGGCTAACATAGTTTAGTTTAATTAACGCTATGCAGTTGCTATGCATGACTTCCCAAGTAACAGCCATCTCTGCTTCCCTGCACTTCTTAATAAAACCTCTATGCTTCTCTCTTGCATCTCAAGGGTTGTCGGAGCAGCATACCTGCAGGAGATACCAATGTCTCGGTCACATTAAATAGTAAGCTAATGTTTAAGTCTCCTTAAACATTCAACGCGACCTCCAAGGCAAAGTTGCTGTTGTAGGTGGGCAGCTACGTGGGGTGGGATAAAGGGTAGAGTTAGCCTTCAGTCACTGATGAGCCTTCCAAAGTTCATTTCTCCATCGATCTGGAGTTTGAAACCTACTTTGTCATGGAAGTAGTAGGTGAGGTTTTTCAGGTCACCTCCCAAATGTCCCTGAAATGATACACTATGTTTACCTGAAGTGATATACTCTTGCGTTCATGTTATGTTAATCCAAATGAATTATAGAAGCGTAGTTGCTAAATATAGCCAGATTTATGTTCCATCAGCCAGTTGCTTTACTCTCAAGTCCTCAATACCATATAACCTAACGGCATATACAACTGTGCCTCATGGGAAAATGCTGTCAGTTTTATTTGGGGTCATCTAGCCATGTCCTCTGCTCAGTTTTACCAGTTTGTGGCTGTAGCGTCAAGTAGAATTAGCAGAAGATCTAGGCCCAAAAGACAACCTCACGGAATAAAGTATGCTGTGCATGTTGAATATTGCTTTCATAGAACTTTGCTCTCCACATCAGCTATTGGAAGCAATTTGTAATAATGCTGAACTGCTGGAATAATCGACAGTAACATCCATCACCACTTCTTTCTGCTCAAACCTTTCCTTAACTCTCAGGACTAAGAACCTGTGATGCATGAGGGCATTTAGAGTTCGACTCACTTGTTTGACTTTCAGAGCAACAAATCATTAAATTTAGAAGGATGCACATAACCTCTTAAGCTGTCACAATTACTCCTGTACCAAGATTCCATTGAAATTTTTTTAAAGATTTTATTTATTTGAGAGAAAGAGAGTGGAAGCGAGCTAGAGAGAGAGAATGAGCAGGGGGAGGGGCAGCGGGTGAGGGAGAAGCAGGCCCCTCACTGAGCAGGGAGGATGCGGGGCTCCATCCCAGGACCCCAAGATCATGACCTTAACCGACTGAGCCACCCAGGCTCCCCTCCATTGAAATTTTCTAAAAGGAAACGCACAAAGACTCTAAACGCCTTGCCCCTTGAGAAAAGTCAGCTGTTAAGTTTAAGAACTAATCACTAGGGCGCCTGGGTGGCTCAGATGGTTAAGCGTCTGCCTTCGGCTCAGGTCGTCATGATCCCAGGGTCCTAGGATCGAGTCCCACATCGGGCTCCCTGCTCAGCGGGGAGCCTGCTTCTCCCTCTGCCTCTCTCTCTGTCTCTCATGAATAAATAAATAAAATCTTTAAAAAAAAAAGATACCATAAATGAAAGTTAATAGGAAGAAGAGGTCAAAAGAACACCTCACATAGGCTAGAAATTTGCTTCTGGTTTCATTGAAGAATCAAGATACTAGAATGGCAAAATGAGATCACAGAGCTAAAAATGTACAAATATATTCAGAGCAATGTGGGGTTTTTTTTAAGGGCAGACCTGAATCTGTCCACTCAAAGGTATGTAGACCCAGTCAAGGTATTATCTATCTTGGAAAATAACTAAATTATTCCCAGCATTTTGGGGACTTCCTCCACAGTCCTTTGGATTTCTTCAGTGGCAAAACTGAGACACTGGGCTTGATTTTGGGTAACAGTCAAAAACAGTTCAGAGCTTGGTATGATAAATCAGATGGATTACAGTATGGAGACTCAGCACATTTTGTTAAAGAAGGGAGGGAGGTTATAAATTGAGGCAAATTACTTCTCAACACCTTATAAACTGGCTCTGGGAGAAATTCACCCAAGGAATTTTTGAAAGTGTTTTAAGAAATGACAGTATTATTGGAATAAATATATAAACTCTAAAATGACTACTTTAGAGAGGAAAATGTACATTGAGATATATAAAGTCACTCCAAGCTTGCTATAGAGTGGAGAGCTTGCACTCAATGTTATTCTTAATGCATTTTAAAGAAAATATATGATAAGGATTATCTAAATTCTTGTATATGTTAAATCTCATTACTTTGTAGTGATACTGCATACTCCCTCCATGTGATTATAGGAAACATTTTATATACACTGAATTCAAAAGTCTTTTGCAGACAGGTGGTTGATGAATTACCAGATCTTTAATTCATAAATTTAACTTGTTACACTCATTTGGTTTATTGTGCATAATACACACAAACCCTGAATGATTCATACAAACTATTTTTTACTCATAAAAACATGCCAAAACCTTTTCAGAGAGTTGCTTTTGTCTCTTTTTAGAGTGCTCATTCTTCAGTGTGTATAAACAAGCAAAGGCTTTGATATTCAAATTAATAAAAGCAGTCAAAACGAGAAATGTATCCATCTGAAAATCATATGCTTCCATTTGATGCATATTAATGAAAAGCTCACACACAAAAAAGTTATTTGAGAGGATATTTACCTTACAAGCAATGAAAAACTCCCTTGCAGGGAAAACAGATAGAAAGGTTATTTTACAGTTAATCACAAAATCTGAGTGCCTCTCTCAGAATAGCAAGTGACTAGGAGCATGGACTTTGAAGCTGGGGGGATATGAATTTAACCCGTTGACTCAGCTATTCATTAGCTGTATGACTTTGAGTGAGTTACTTGACTTCTGTGAGCCTTCATTTATTCATCAACAATATGGAAATAATAACAATATCTTTCAGAAAGTAATTTTAAGAATTAAATAAAAGAGTACATGTAACTTTCTTAGCTTAGCACCTGGGACTTAATTAGTTGTCATTATTAATATGATTATTAAGTTGGGGGCACCTGGGTGGCTCAGTTGGTTAAGCAACCAGCTCTTGATTTGACTCAGGTCATGATCTCAGGGTCCTGGATAGAGCCCCACGGTGGGCTCTGTGCTCAGCATGGAATCTGCTTGTCCCTCTCCCTCTGCTCCTCCCCACCCCCCGCTCACACGCGCGTGCTCTCTCTCTCTCTCTAATAAATAAAATCTTTAAAAATATATATGATTAAGTTGGACAACTCTTTTTTTTCTGTATATCACTTTTCTCTCCTATAAAATGAGAATGTTACCTAATTAATCAGTAAGAAATAAATGAGGTGACAGAAAATTTAAAGAAAATTTAAACGTTATGCAATACTGGAAACTGTCATGAAATAGAAAATACTATTTGCCTGCATTACAAAGAACAATAAAATGCTTTCTTCCCTCAGGCTAATTCCAACTGAACACACCTTCTCAAGGGCTTGCATCTCCTCTGTTAGCAATAGGAGTTTGGTAATTTCAGTCTGAGGTGATTGAGTTTCTCTGGGCTTCACAAACAGATGGGATCACAGTAAGAATAATAAATCAAACTTCATTGGTTCCTGCCCCCATCAGGTGGGACCTGCAAGCAAATTTCTTTCTAAATACCTCCCACACCCTCAGAGTCTCACTCAGGTGTGCCTGGGGGTCCCCACAAGGTATCTCCCCGGTGCTCACAAACATCTCTCTGAGCTCCCATCTCCATATGGCACCTGCTAGGTTCTTCGTCTCCTTGCCCAGCTCTTCTGTACCAATCAGGCTGATGGAACTGATAGGGCTGGAGGAAACCGCAAAGGCTAGTGGTCCTGAAGGTCCAGGGTCACTCTTACGCTGGATGTCAATACACATCCACCCTTGCTGAGGGGAACTCCCCAAAAGTTTCACCTAAGGCCTGAACCAATTCTTTTTTTTTTTTTAAGATTTTATTTGTTTATTTGAAAGAGAGAGAATGAGAGAGAGAGAGAGAGCACATGAGGAGGGGGGAGGGTCAGAGGGAGAAGCAGACTCCCTGCCGAGCAGGGAGCCCGATGTGGGACTCGATCCCGGGACTCCGGGATCATGACCTGAGCCGAAGGCAGTCGCTTAACCAACTGAGCCACCCAGGCGCCCATGATTTAGATTTTTGTGCCTCCATGCCTTTGATTCCTTTGTCCTCTCAATGTTTCTAAACCTGACGTTTCCTTGAAGCTGCCATGTAAATGCTACCATTACCAGAAATTTTCATTTCCTTGAACTCCCGGCTGAAAGTAATCTCTCTTTTGGTCTCTCATTCTTGCTCTAATTCCCACAGCATTTTTTTCTCTTTATAAATTCTGCAAGTGCAGACAGATGGCTCCATATCTGCCCTGCTCACACTGTATCTCTAGCACATGCCCAGCACATAGTAGGTACTTTTTGGAATGAATATCACTTACTCATTGGGACTTACCATAGTGCCAGCCGTTAAATATATATCGTTGTTTAATGAATGTGAAATTCAAATTCCCTCCAGGTTATGTTCGTTAGTTCATACTTCGAAGCAGCTTTACTTTTCCTTTCCCCATATCTGTTCTTCCTCAGCCCTCTTTATCTCAGTGATGGCTTTCCATCCCTCTAGTTGCCTAAACCAGAAAGCCTAGATGACTTTTCTCTCCCCTTCACCCCCTTCACCAGTCCCCACGGATGCTGCCCCCTAAGTAGGCCTCTACTGCACCCCATCTCTTCCAGCCCTTTACCGCAGGCTGCTACCATCACCCAGCGAGCTTTCCTGCCTTTCATCTGTCTCTTCACTTGCCCACACCCAGAGTCCACTAGCTAAACAGCAGCTAGACGGTCTTCCTAAACTCAAATGCAAATCTCATCTTGTTCTTTACCCACTTAAAGTCCTGAAGAGGCTCCTGAAGGACTTCACAATCAAGCTCTAGGTAAAGTAAGCATGACCTCCTTACCTCTTCATAACTTAATTCATTAACTCAACAAATACATAGGAAGCATCCTTTCTAAGTGCCAGATACTGCTCTCGGTGCTGGAGGATGCACGCATGGATAACAAAACAAATCTGGGCACTCACTGAGCTTCCATCCTAGTGTGGAGATGTGCAGGGGAGGAAAAAAAAAAAGACAAAAAGGAAGTACATTGTTTAGCATGTTAGAAGGTAACAAGTTTTGTGTAAAACTGAACAAGTAATGGAGTCTGGGAGTGAAGATTTGGAGGAACGATTACAATTTAGAAGTCATCAGGGTAGGCCCTTACCGAGGGCCTGAAGTGAAAGAGGAGGAACCCTGCAGTTAGAGGGAGTAGGCATCAGTATATTTTCAAGTCTCCAAATGATTTCAATGTGCAGGCAGGCTGAGAACCTGTGGAGTCTCTACAGTCTCTTCTAACTCAGGAAGCTATCACTGGGATGGCCAGGCCTTTCCACACGGAATGTCCCTGACACTGCTTAGGCATGACGTGGGCATTGCTATTCAGGACACAGATCTGTAGCACAATGGCTCTGATCATAGACTCTAGAAATGACAGATGTGGGTTCATATCCCACTGTATTATTGAACTTTGGGCGGGTTGCTTTACCTCTCTCAGCCTCAATTTCATCTCTAAAATGAAAATCATTATATCTAACATTTTGGTCTATTTAAGAATT